AATCACAACTGTCTCACCAATACTGCAAGGTGTTCTCCAATCCTGCCGCCACTTCTGCTTGATAGTGATGGCTGAATGACGACTGCTCATGATTCCACTTGTTTCATATTCAGTGTTTCAAATGTTCAAATGGGGCACTTGCAATTTTTCAATCGGCGCAAATCTCGCGAAACCTGTGACGGATCGCGGACTTTGACACCAGCGTCACTCGTCTCATAGCGTCGTGTACGTCAGAACATGTCGTCAGGCACGTAGGAGTCATAGCTCCCCATTTGGAAAAAGGCAAGAATTGATTGCTTTCTTCGAAAACTTTGTAATCGATGGGCATTCGTTTCTATTGTTCATTCTAGGTTTCTCTTGCGAAAATCCAGAATGATTCCAAAGCTTTTCTGGATGAAATCTCAGTCTCGAACGCTAGTACAGAACATTTCACATCAAAGTCGTTCCCATTGTCCTCCAGTGTTCAGTGCTTGCCAAATGAATTGGGTAGCTACAACACCTTGCCTCTTTCCAAATAGATGTTCTCGAACATGAATTCAAATCTCTTCCCGTTCATGCATGTGGTAATAAATGTAGGTATTGGAGGAACAGAAAGAAACTGGTATCCGTGTTCGAGCAAATCCAGTTTGAAAAAAGAATGGTGTCGTAGCAACCTCACTTGGCAAGCACAGAAAAGAGCGGAACAACGGGCACGACTTTGATGTGAGTTGTTCTATATTGGGGTGCAGGCTAGGCGATCATCTAGGAAAATTTTGGAGCCATTCCAGATTTTCGTAAAGGAACCTAGAGTGACTAACGGAAACAAGTGTTCATCCGTTACGGCTCTTGCCTAAGCTTAAAGGAAGTGGTCACGATAATTCTCATAGGGACGATAAGGAAAGCTGTGTACTGGAGTGGATAGGGGTCCTGCCCAATGTTAGAACACGTGAAGTTTCAGTGGCAGTGGCGCCTTATCAACGGAGTGAGGCCGGACGCATAGTCGGTCGGACGACAGCAACGACTGCAAGTGTCGCAGATCAATACGCAGCTACTATTCCACACTACAGTGGGACTTTCGAAATACGATCACGCGCAGTCACGTGTTGTCTGGGTTTGCATTGGGTGACCGCGTCGCCTTCCATTTGCGACCGCGGTTTATGCGACACCTGCGGTCGTTGCTGTCGTCCGACAGCAGCAGTCGTTGCTGTCGTCCGACCGACTATGCGTCCGGCCTGATAAGGCGCCGAAATCCACTTCCGTTCAGCAAAAACCAAGACTTATCGATGTGGAAAGGGGTGCGATAAGAGCGTGCTAGATATGATACCGTTATCGTTATCGTCCCGTTTTCATTCTGGAGTGCACCTCTTATCAAGCAGCCGCACCTTCTTATCTCATCGTATCATATCTTCCATGGGCTTACACTCGTCCAACAATTACTGCCTCACACCTTATCGATTGATAACGCGAGGGTAGCAAATCCAGCGTGGAAGCCAGCGTGATCGCTTCCTTTAAAAATGCGAGCTGTAAGCGCGAAGTACTAATGACACATTTTTGATTACGAAACTTGAGGGAGAATCACTCGCTCTACTCACATGCCCCTACTAGAGGGCGTAAGCAAGTGCTCCACATCGGTGCCTTTAGTCTTCTCCTTACTGACCTGAGTTCTTGGTAAGGCTGGTGTCAGAGTCCGCGATCCGTCGCAGGTTTCGCTGATTTTCGCGATTCACGCGACGGGTCACGGAAATCACAAGTGCCCGATCAATACTGCAAGGTGTTCTCCAATCCTGCCCCACTTCTGCTTGATAGTGATGGCTGAATGACGACTGCTCATGATTCCACTTGTTTCATATTCAGTGTTTCAAATGTTCACACACTTGCAATTTTTGCGATCCGTCGCGTGAATCGCGCAAATCGCGAAAATCAGCGAAACCTGCGACGGATTGCGGACTCTGACACCAGCCTAATGTTCTTCTCGACATGTCGTCGAAAACGCTAGAAATGGTAGATCGAGGCCAACAAATCAAAAAGCTTCCGACTATTCTAAAGGAGACGAGAAGGTCGAAACGTACATAAACGTAGTGCCAAACAAAAAAGTTCTAAGAGCTGATTGACATACAATAGGAAACAGTAAAAGTAGTCTTCCCTATTGGTAACATTCAGCAACAAAAATTATTGTACTACGGTGTAGAGATGAGACTTGGAATAATTGTAAAGAGCAAAATTGAAATAGAGGAACCTTTAGCCAACTGGAATCGATTTAGGACACCATTCTCATCAGTTGCTCGCTGACGCAAATCATCAGCAGGATCAAGGCTGATGCGAGGAGTTTATGAAAGAGATGATCCGATACAGCTTGACCTGAATTTCACAGAAGATATCTCCAAAACGGTTACAGTCGAGATCCGTAAGTTGGGGTAGGCGTGTCACCGGAAGTGACGTGGACTTGATAGAGGTTGCGTAGGTAAGTCGCTGCCAGCATGCTTTGCTGATATCTCGCGATATATATTGGAAGCACCTTATCCACATAGATTCTATCAAGTACACGTCACTTCCGGTGACACGCCTACCCCAACTTACGGATCTCGAGTATAAAATCATAAATCGCTACTTAAAGGGAATTACCTTGTCAACGTAAGGAACGAACTGTTGGAGAAACTGTTTCTCGCGATCAGTGGCGGCATTCGGATTAGCCGGTGTGGAAGAGTAGTGTCTAAATCAGTCAAAGCTGATTTGATGGTCAGTAAACAAGAAGAATCACACACCTATTTATAGCTAGCTCTAATGCTTGTGGGTTTGCACCCTGTATTCGCTCCATTTCCCTGCCTTCTTTTATCAGAACGAAGGTTGGCATAGCACGGATGCCATATTGCCTGCTTATGTCTGAAAAAGTTAAGCCATATACAAAGTAAACAAGAGTTAAGAGTAGTCAAGATTCTGGGCGCAATGCGGCTCGGAGGGGGCAGTCGTCGCCGCGGCGCGTGCGGCAGCAGGAAATTCGTGAGACAACGGAAATCTAGCCAATTCAGGGGGGGGGGCGACTACATTTGCACCAGCGCTGGAATGTTCGAGTTTACACTACTTCGCTAAGCCGCGGTGACAACTGCCCCCCCCCCGCGAAACGCGCTCGCAATGTGGCCCCATCCAAATTGATGGTCTGAACCGCACCGCTCAGGAAGTTTTTGTAATACTCAACCATGCCCTTATCGTTTCATTGTGAATCGAATGTTTCGCGCGCGCTAATGCATCGGGCATCTTTCTGACCCTACTTGATGGAGTTTCTAGAGAAGTTCTAAAGAAGGCAATATTACAGAAACGTTAGCCAATGAAGGTTTCGGTACAACCTCGTGAGTAGTTCGAAGAATTATAATTGGGCGCTCATGTTTTTGTGTGGAGCGGACATCACAACAGATCCCATGGTAGGCGACATTAGGACTAATAATCCAGGGGTCGTAAGGTATGCTTCCCCGGAGGGTAGTGGGGAAAGTCCCTCACCATTTATTGTTTGAACGTACTCGTTTCTTACATATCAGAACAATCTGTTGGGAAGACAAAGGGATTTCCGCCACCAACCCTTCGGGGAAGCATACCATACGGCCCCAGGAGAGGGGAGAAACGCCACAAGGAACACATATTGCTCACATCTTCCGCCAGAATTCCTTCCCCTGCCTAAGGCTTAGTCCTAAGGCACAGGGATGTGGTCTAGGACAGAAAGCAACTTTTTGGCGCTGCGAAACGTGAAAAAGTCGCTTTCTGTCATAGTAAACCACGCCCCAAGCACAGCAATTGGCCCACTTATTTAAATGCCCCCCCCCCCGAAAACGACATGAGCACTGAAAAATTGAACCATTTGATGGAGTTGATGCAATAATAGCCAGGACTGGCTGAAATTATTCATTAATGGCTACCGTTACAAACACTCCCACTCTAAGATCTATTGGGCTAGGAAAAGAGGACATCCTACAAAGACTCCGTGAGCTAAAATTCTTCCCAAAATTATCCGAGTGCTGTAGTGACGGCGTAGTAACCGGTAGTAACCACTACAGAGTTGATAACTTTCAAAAAATACTGAAAAGTAACCTGGTGAATTGTCAACGTTGACCTTCAGAAATGTGGCATTTGTAAATCGTGAGGAGAACTGCTCGACGATAGGAGCTATGAATCGGCACGGACCACACCAATCCGCATAGAAATCCACAACGAAAAGACGATTTCTGTCTGCTGAACCGATTTTGGACTGGAAATCTGTCAGATTGCGCGACAAGTGGACAGGCATTTGGTGTTAACCTAAACCGGTCAGAATTTCACTAAACACTTCACAAACGAAAATTAAACATGAAAAGAGGAAAAGAGGAACATAAAGAGAAGAAGGCGGCATATGCTGACGATGTGAACTGCGCCAGATTGGCCGTGGGTCAAGGCGGAAAGCACGAGCGAGCACACATGTGCGAATGAAAAAACAATTGATCAATCACAAGGATTATGGCACTGATAGTAGTGGAACACATCTTCTACATTCATATGCACTTGTACAGTTTGGCAGATCTCCAATAGGTTCACGTTTTGTGACCGCAATCAACAAGACAGATTGCCCCAACAGTTTATTCGGCAATATCAGTAAGATGCGATTGAAAAAAAAACAGCACAATGGCAACGCGAAAGAAAAATCGTGCCAGCGAAACGAGGGGAGTGGAGGTACGTCGGGGAGAGCGATAGTCACAGGGGTGGGTCCGTCGGAAGGGTGGACGTCGAGTCGAAATCGCAGAAGAAGAATAACTAGGAGGTTGCCCCTTATATACTCTTTTGGGCATGCAAATCAATAGGTCAATACTAGCTCCCGGTTAGATCACCTACAAAGCACGCCGCTTGCGTGCCCAACTTGGCTCCTCCGATATGCCCTCCCCTCTGGAAGATATCGTCATTTCAAAACTTGGCAGCCCTGCTCCTAATGCGCAGGTTTTCACTGCCTCATACACTTGTTTCGGTAGAGCAGTTCCTATGTAATTATTATAGAACTGTGCGCTTCCTTCGGGAGCGCCAACCTCTAAGTATAATTTGCCTTCAATGAACTTGTTGCTAGCAGTGCAAAACACATGATTACCCTTGTCGAGCTTCATCAGCGCTTCATCAAGGTTCTTCCAGAGTACCGATAAATTGAGCCACTTGGACTGATTCTTTGAATTGATCGGTGGCCATGCTGTGGCAATATAACCTCCTTCTTCCAAATATGATTTTGCCAAGCTAATCAAACTTGTTGTAGTGCATTCCGCGGAACCTGCTTCTTGGGGCCACACGATGACCCATGGAAAATTTCCATTCTTCCAAGATTTCTACAAGACGCTTAAAATTGAGTGCGACTTTGGTGACGATCCCTCCGCGAATCCCGTCTCTTTCCATGGGGCTTGCTCCTTCGAATGCGGCGTATAAAACTGGTCCTGTTTTCTTGGTCGGTCCCTGACTGACTGCTCTTCAATTTCTCCGCGAACCTTTTGCAAAGTCTCATTATAGGAACGGTGGACATGCTGACTTTCGATTGGGGTGTGCTCGGCTATGCATTTCGTGCTGCAGATGAAGTCAGTCCAGTCACACATCGTCCCATTAAACGATTTCACACACGATCTTCAACGAATCTTCATCTACACAGATGTGGCCCTCGCGATGCTACTTGATTGCCTTTCCAATGTCGGCCGATGCACCAATTTGGCTAGTGAGCCAATGGAAGACTTAACCAGTGACGTGTAATATTTATTACGACGTGTTAGTGTAAGAATCGACAATAATAATGCATTCAATGGGGTTTATATACAGAAAATGTGGGCGGTCCTCAGATACCGTGTCGCCGCTGGACCGTGGGGGGCCAGTGGCGGTACTCAAGCTCGGGGGATGAAAGGGTGGACCGCGCCAACAGCAATATTTAAGTTACCTACTTGATTGCACACTTATGATACCGCTAGGTCATGCCTGCGGTATCATTTCAAGAGATACTCATCTATAGAACGTCCTAAGGTAAATAGTTTGAACTAGCACGTTATCATTCACTTATATGAATCCTAGCTCTAGTAGAAATATATAGGTTGTGTATCCACAACAAGATCGGTACGACGAAAAATACTACAAGCGAGCCAAGCGCTCCAAAGACTTTCGATCTCCTCCTTCGCGACAGCACCTGGAAATGATACTCCTGCAATATCGCCCAATGTTGCGCCTTCAGAGCAGCGATCAGCGCACTTGAAGAGTAGATGTCCTTTATCCATCGGACTTAGCAACGACGCACCACCGAAACGAACTTTTGTTACTTTACATACTGTGGTGGATAATCAAGACTCACGTCGGAATTGCCGATCCGATAGTAGTTCGTATACCAGGAAAAAAAATACCAGGATAGGTGCCACGCGGGACTTCACAGATCGCTGAATATCTTCAGAAATAACAGAGCATGAATACCAACACGACAGATATGGCACGGGTAATCCACCAGTCAGAACAACCTCAAACTTGGGTAATTGAACTTTATTTCATTTTACGAAATTGCGAAATGACGAAATTAGAAGTAGATATGCTAATATCTCATGGAGCATCGAGAGGTAAATTTCAACCGTAAAAACACTCGTATTAGTGGATGAGTACAACGGAACTGCGGCTTAACGCCAAAGAAGCACACCAAGTGATAAATTGCGGCTAAACGCCGATAAAGAGAACAATGAACATGGGTTAGTATGGCCTAGTGCCAGATGGAAATCATGTAGCGAACAGATGCGGCTTAGTGCCGAACAAACATCAAAACATTGCGGCCTGGCGCCGGGAGAGAAAAAATACAAACGAGTAATGAAATAGTGGGCTGACGCCGTAAGAAGAAACGATGAATGAAATACTACGGCTTGCGCCGGGACAATGATGAAATCGTGAATGGGATACTGTGGCTCACGCCAGAGAAGGGAACAATGAAAATGGTGTGGCTTACGCCAGAGGAATAAACGAGTACCAGGATACCGCGGCCTAGTGCCGGGAAGAAGAGACAAACAAGTAAAAGCCTAAAAGGTGAGCCACGCGCGGTGGGTGAATGAAATGAGTAAATGAACTTTCAAGGAAATTTGGGCCCGTTCAAAAGACTGCGTATCGTAGATGGTTTCTGCGCGTCGACTCTATGTGCTCTTCGTCGTAGATCAAAAGAGTCGATATAGGTGCGATGGAGTACACATACCGTCGTTGGACTCTGAGGATTTTTCCTACCCCTTTTCTCTCCTGTAGTTATTGTATCAACTCTTTCGTCAGAAATACAGTTTGGCACAATCCTTAACATGTCGAACTGTATTCTGATGGGTTCTGCGTTCTCTCCTATTCTTGTAACAAGAGCTGAATTTTCGCTAGTTTCGATCATCCAGCCCATTCCGACTAATTTCGGGTGCGAACTTTTACCTTTTTCTTTGGGCGACAAAACATACACTCTATCCCTTACTCTCGGATGACGGTCAACATTTACTTTATTTCTTTTATAATAATCTTTTTTCATCACTCCACATACTCGATCACTATGATTTTTTACTCTTTCGTGGACTTCCGCTATCCCTTGCATTAGCTCTTATAGTCGTCCACTGGTATATCTAACAAGTGCCACGACTGTCAAGAATTAGGTATGATGCTCGATGGGAAGTTGAGATCCCTGCCGTGTAAAACGAAGTAGGGCCGCTCCCCGTGGCTGAGTGCGGTCATGTTGTAGGCCATAAGACAGAATGGGAGTCGCGCATCCCATTCGGTGGGTACTACTGTGCTCTTTCTCAGCATAGCTAGGATAGTTCCATTTAACCTCTCTGTTGTACTATTCTCCCTTGGGCTGTATCCTTTAGTCATCGAGTGTTTTATTTGAGGTTGTCTCCATAATTTCTTCCATAACTTTATTTTCGAACTCGCTCCTCTGTCTGTCAGAATAGTTTTGGGCCAGCGGCATCCTTCCGCTATCCATCTGACAAAGATTGTCTGGGCCACAGTGCGCGCGTCTTATCGGGCACTGGGTACGCTGCCGCAATTTCGAGAACAGGTCTATTACTGTCACAGCGTACCTGTTACCATTTAATGTAAGGCCTAACTCTGGAATGTCAACTCCGATAACGTCATACATCCTGTTCGATTACTGGCTTTGAAGGTGGGAGAAGCGGTTGTTTTGGATTATACACGAAACATTTGTGGCATTCTTTTGTCCACTTACTGATGTCGTGGGTCATATTTGGCCAAAATACCTGTTTGGATAACACCTGCCATAGCTTACGTGAGTTGAAATGCCCACCAAATGGACCAGCATGAGCCTCATTGAATATCTCATGTTCTCACGTCTGACATTCTGCGGCACCACAAATACTAGTGAGCCATACTGCTGATACAGCATTAATTCGCCATCGACTGAAACAAAATCTCATACTCGCATGTGTATTCTACTATCTGGGATTCCAACGGAACCATCTGTTTCGTCCTTTTCGAGACACTATGATATCAGCGAAAATCGGGTCTCTCTCGAGTTCTATTTCGTTTTCTCATTCGATTTCACTGATCGTGAGTTCACTACTGCGCTGCTTTCAGTCTCAGGCCCTTCTCCCAACTCAGTCATTGCCCCTTTGCTGAACGCATCTGCTATTACATTCGCCTTTCCCTTTTACATACTTAATGTGAAAGTTATATCGTTGTCCTTCCAGTGACCATCTTAATATACGTGCAGAGACATTGGTACGCCGAAATAAAGCCGTGAGAGGTTGATGGTCAGTAATCACGGTGGTCGGCAAGCCCATATATGAATATATGAAACCTTCTCAGGGCGAACACCACAGCCGACGCTTTCCAAGTCCGTGACATGGTATCGTCTTTCTGCTCTGCCAAGCGATTTTGATGCGAAAAAGTTGGGCGTAAGTGGCCATCGTTCCCTTTTTGGTCTTGATCCGCTTCTGATTCCACTTCTGGGTGAGCCAATACTGGTGCATTGCAAATCATATTCTAACCTTTTCAAGTGCTTGGTCATAATCTTGATTCCAGGCCCACCTCCCTTTAGTCGATGTCAAACTGAACATATTGGAACACGCGACGGTCATCACTACGATCTCAAAAAATAGCATCCTGTCACCTTTAATCGATTCGCGGACTAGTGGTAGCGGCAGGGCAGAACCTTTTCAGATCCCGCGTGTTTCGAAAACCCCAGGCAGAACTTCCGATGGTAAGAGGCCATCCCTAGAAATGTTCTGAGCTCCTTCACATTCCTCGGCTTTGGGTGACTCTTAACGCCCATATGTACCCCGTCCTCATCTATCAGGTAGCCTGGAAAAGCTACAGTTCTTAGTAACACCCACTTTTTTGCCTTCAGTCGCAAACCGGCTTCCCTTAGGGTCTGACAAATCTCACCTAGCAGTTCTAGGTGTCTCATTTTTGTTTCCGTGCATATGATAACATCGTCCAAATAGCAGAAAACCTCTTTCCTTAGCATGTCCTACATGCCTCTACATGAGCGTTGGCAAACGACAGGCTTGTAACTTAGTCCCGATTCATTACTTTGACTGGAACGCCCTTCCGGCGTTGTGAAGCAACTTTCTCCTGGCTGTTTCCGCTAGTGGTATCTTCCGGTAGCCACTACATAAATCATGTGTTGAAAAAAACTTCTTGCCTGCCAGACTCTGCAGAATCGCTTCTACTATAGGGAGCGGGTATGAATCTTGCTTAATTCTTCTATTCAGTTCGCGGTAATCAACGCATAATCGCAATGACCCGTCTTTTTTCTCTACTAAAAATATTGGGAACGCCATCAATAAAATAGTTCAGGTCTTCCCACTTCTCTTCTTCTCTTTTTCGTGCTCCATTCACACTAACTTCACGCCCTACCTTGAAAGCACATCGCTGTGTCTTACCTTGTTGTTATCCCTGGGATACTAATCCTTTGGTTGCACACTTTGAATCAAATCCTTGAAACCTTTCTCCTATTGGTCCACAAAATCTCTCGTCATGTCCTGTTTCCCTGCAGTCCACCTCCAGCATGGCAGACGTGTGTGGAGGAACGTAACCCTTTCAGCCACTTTTGCTACCTCAGCTCTATTAGGGTCGGTCCCCTTTCCCTCCTCGGTCATTCCAACTGCATCAGAGCAAATAATCGATATCCCGACTCATAGCTTCTGTAGCGAATTCATTCCCAGAAACACTTCATCTTGAGGGAGAGGCGGTATATAGAAAGTTATTTTGGTCTTCCCACCATCCAGCGTTACCTCTAGAGCGACTGCTCCCACAATTTTCATTCCATTGCCTGACGCATCGTACACAGGCCCTCGTTCTTTAACGCAAAGTGGGGAGTGCATCGACGTCGTATCACTTGGCTTGTGCCTTTTCTAGCAACGTTATGGGTATAATGCTCACCATCGAGCCACTATCAATCAAGGCTGATGCTGTCATCCCTAATAGCTTGACCTTCTTATGCATCAACGCGCCTACTCTTCCTGCGCTCTCACCTCTACCTTGATTCTAGGTCTTCACCCCATAGCTACGCACCGCTCGAATAATTTTCGCGACACTAAAAACCTCTGTCGTAGGTCTTGCTGCCACCAGGACTTTCGATTTCTTGCCCTTTCACGCTTTTACGCGGGCAATATCTAGCAAAGTTCGCTATCTTCCATGTATAGATGCTCCTCCTAGCTTTCCACTCCATTGGTTTTCCTATTCTCCTGTACTGACTTGCTTTCGACCATTGCCACTGATTGTTCTATGCTCAAAGCAAGTTGCTTGACTTCTTCATATGCGGACTTGCACGGTGCAAGACACTTATCAGTTGAGCATGCTCGGGCCATTCGCGTAAATTTTCCAACAGAATTTGCGCATTCTCTAGAGATCTGGACTCGCTTGATCTCTCTGGGTTTGCCCTTCTAGCCAGATTTTCCAATCAACGCAAAAATCTGCAACGTCCTGCCCAGGTCTTATTCGCAGGCTGCGCAATTCCGTAAGCGCTCTCATCCCCCAGCCACACAGTCACTCAATAAAAGTCGACCCAGCTCTTTGGCTACCTCCTCAAAGCCATTATCAACGACACTACCTGGCAAGGCTCTCACGATGTTCTTCGCGCGGCCCCCTAGGTGGTCACCACTCAATATCTCGATCAATGTCTTGTCATCGATTATAACCTTACTGTAACGAAACTTCCTGATGAACCCATTGAAATTTTCGTTTGGTTTCCCTTTGAAAACCCCTGGATCAGCACAAGATAACGACTGTACATAATTCAAAAAACTCATGTTTGAATCTTGACCTGTGCCGGCTGATCCCGTTTTCAAACGAATTGCAGAGCTGCTCGAGTTGCGTCCTGAGCGCACTCCAATCTGTGGGTTCATCCGATCCTGCAAGAATAAGCTATGCAGTCATCTGTCCCTTCTGTCTACCTCTGTGAGCTTATTTTGCACTGCTCCCTGATTGCCTTTCCATGGTCGATTTCTTCAGGCTCTTCACAGTAGCCACTAGCTGTAATGCATCGACATTTAATTCATCACATAGCTTTTCCAAAATATTTCCATCCCTTTCCATTGTCTCAATATACTCTTGCCAATCCTCTCTCGAGTCTATGCCTCTTACCCTTAGTTTCCCGAATTCTGTGTCCAGTAGGTGGGTGACGCGACAGCACCCTATTAGTGCTCCTATCTTCTCACATACCATCTCAATTCTACCCGATAGCCTCTCTTTATGCATACTCTTCTAGCGCAAATTTTGTGTTCCCGCATTTTTCCCGCATATCGATGGGGGTCTTGCTTGATCATATCTCTTATTTCTTTTAACACACCGTATTCACGTGTGGAAAACTCACCGTCACTGGGGTTTCATTCTTTCTTATTCGGCTC